CCCCCCCCCCCTCCCCGGGCAATATTAACATCGACACAATATATTTAGTTTCGAATTTACTCTTGGTCGAGAAATTTTGATAGATCTCCCCAATCGTGGATGCTCGGTGTGCAACATCATCACAAACTGACATTTTACTTTTGCCACAACATCATCACATACTGGCATTTGACATTTGACACATTACAGGTACTAAACACTATCACATACTGACATCTGACATATTACAGGTACTTAACACTATCACATGCTGACATCTGACACATTACGGGTACTTAACACTATCACATGCTGACATTTGACACATTACAGGTACTTAACACTATCACATGCTGACATTTGACATTTGATACATCAGATACAGTTGCACAACATTATCACATACGGTGACATTTGACATTATTTGACACATCATTACGACATATTGACATTGGTCACAAGTTTAGAAACACAATATAAAGGCATCTCATTCCAAAGAAACTCATTTTCGGATTTTTTTCCTTTTAAAAGCAAACATACGACACGTTAAACGATCAAAGAAAACGCTCTACTCCTGCTGTGGTACTTACATTCGGCAGAGGTCCTTGGGTCTTCATGGCACAGTTATAGCAAGTTTCTTTTGAAATTATACTTAATATTATTATTACTTTAATGAAAAGGCCAAAGCAGTATCGGTACATACCTTTCATACTTGCACGTATATCCTTAAAGAAACCTTTTGTTTTACTGCTGCTGCTGCTGTTGTTGTTGTTGATGTTGGCGGTGGTGGTGATAATAAGCTGACCATTGGTCAAAGCTGCTGTCGCCGGTGTCGCCGAGGGCGAATTTTCCTTCTTGGAGGGCGGCATGGTTCGTTTCTGAGGAGAGCTTCACTGTAGAAAACTTCTCAGTAGAAGATTTCTCAGCGATAGGCCTACCACGACAGCAGTACCACGATCTACAGGCAGATTACGTCTCACGAGGAGCACGAGGCAGAGGACGACCACCACATCACTGCTGGTTGGTCTACGTAGTTCTAGGTACACTTGTGGTGATCTCAGACATAGAGCAAAGACCACACCACTGCTGGTTGGTCTATGAAGTACTAGGTACACTTGTCGTAATCTAAGTCACAGAACAAAAACCACATCAAAGACCACATCACTGATGTCTATGAAGTACTAGGTAGACTTGTCGTGATCTCAGACAGAACAAAGATCACATCACCGCTGGTTGGTCTATGTAGTTCTAGGTACACTTGTGGCGACCTCAGACACAAAACAAAGACCAGTTCGATGTGGGAAGCTCTACTATGTAGCTCTACGCAGTTTTATGCTGCACTCTGCAGTTCTATGTACACTGTCGTGATCTTAGTTAAGCAAAGACCAACGACCAACGACCATCGACTAAAGACCAAAGACCGCACACCCACGAAGCCGGACACCAGACAAAGGTCAGGAACAAGGGAAGTAATCCTGACTGTCAGGTGCCTGGAATATGCCGGGGCTAATGAGGAAGGAGGGAACGAGGCTCTCCGGTCGTCTGTTCCCCATCTACGTCACACACTGAAGAGTCAGAGGACGAACGTTGTGCGTTGTGTGTTGTCTGATGTGTGCTGTGTGTTGTCTGTTGTGTGCTGTGTCTTGTGTGTTGTGTGTTAGTTCAATGATCCATCCTGACGGGCGTCACCTCCACTGTAGGTACAGCCACCCACACAGCTCGGCTGGAAGTGAAAGTACATGTACGTGTCTGCCGGGCTCCATGTGTCCTCAGGTACAGAGCCACACTCTAGTACAACCACCAGGTGTTGTACACGGTGAATGACGGAAGCACTGCGGTGTGGTATAGAGGGCAATCTAGTTATCTATGATAACGGTATAGTGCTTTGGAGGGAGAGGGAGGGAGAGAGGGGGAGAGGAAGAGAGAAAGGGAGGGAGGGAGAGAGAGAGAAAGAGAGAGAGAGAGAGAGAGGGGGGGGAGGGAGAGAGAGAGGGAGGGAGAGAGAGAGAAAGGGAAAGAAAGAGAGCATCTCAAAAAAGAGAAAGAGAAAGGGATAGATAGATAGAGAGAGAAAGAGAGAGAGAGAGAGGGGGGGGGCCCCCCCCCTTCCCAATCCACAGACGCCTCTTCCTTCACGATCTCCCCTACAGATAATGTTTTAAAGAAGAAAAAAAAAGGAGGAGGGGGGGACACCATACTTGACAAATCGCGATACTGGAACTGAAGAGGCGGTATCCGACGATATGACAGGTGGGTCGTGTGTCCTGTGTTAAGTGGGTGTGAAGGACACACAAACAGAACTCGGCCAAACCAGCACGATGAACCAACACACAGATACATCATCACAACATGGTACACATAAAACGTTTGAGTTCGCCATAGGCTCAAACCCTCGCGACTATAACGGTCATTTAGCGCCAGGAACAGTCAGAACAGACAGACATAGCAGCAGGGGGTGAGGCGGGGGAGAAGAGGGTGACACCCTCCAACAGTCAGCTGAAAACTCGTTTGTTTTGTTTTTTTAGTTTTAGTAAGAGTTTTACGACACTTGGAACACAATATGGTCATATAAGTGCCCACGATTAGAGGTGTTACAAGAGAGTAACAAACACAAAAAGGAAGGAGGAGAGATAAACACGGCAGATGTTTGATAGGAAAGAAGAAGCAAACCACACCAGAGCACCCGCCAACAACCCACCTCGTTTGTTTGTTTCAGTAAAGAGAAGCACATCAAACGATAGTCATTTTAGTGTGTGGGGAAAAGTAAGACAAACAGACAGACAGACAGACAGACATATAGATAGACAGACAGACAGACAGACAGACAGACAGACATATAGATAGACAGACAGACAGACAGACAGACAGACAGACAGACAGACAGACAGA